CGCAGTCTCGACCTGCTGTGGTCAGGCGATCCTTCTGCCTCAGCCTTCCAAGTAGCTGGAACTACAGGTACACACCACCACGTCCGGTTAGTTTTTTTAAAATTTATTGTAGAGATGAGGTCTCTTAAATCTCTATTAATCAAAGGCAGTCTTCTCTACATTCCCTTGCCATTAACTGGCTATACAAACCAGTTTTGTCCTATGGGATGTTCCACATTCTGGGTTCATCTGTTTTCTTGAGGAGTCATATTCGTTGTTTCTCTTTTCTTTGTATTTCCTACAAATGACGCTCAGTTCCAGAGGTCTGGTTAGAACCTGGTTTGATGTTTTGGCAGAAACACATCACAGCAGGTGCTATGTGCTTCATATTCCCTCCTGATTGTATGGTTGCTCTAAGTTTCAAGATGCCAAGATTGATCAGCTTGCAATTTTCTTTTTTAACTTATCTTCTAAAAGTCTTTCTATTTCAGCTTCTATGGGGTGTCCTCATTCTGTATAGATTCCATTAGATGAAAACATTGAATGAAAATAACAGAGTTTATTTATTAATCCCTTTCAAATAGGTATGCATGTCTGTTTCTTCATTTGCAAAGACGATCTTAAAAGACCCCACCCAAATACTGCAATTTAGTTATGTGCAGTGGGAGCTTGCTTTTTTTTTTTTTGAGTTGGAGTCTCACTCTGTTGCCCAGGCTGGAGTGCAGTGACATGATCATGACCACCCCAGTGTCAACCTGCTGGGCTCAGACGATCCTTCTGCCTCAGCCATCCAAGTAGCTGGAACTACAGGCACCCACTACCACTCCCAGATCATTTTTAAAAAACTTATTGTATAGATGAGGTCTCGCCAAGTTGCCCAGGCTGTTCTCGAACCCATGGGCTCGGGCAATCCCCTCACCTCGGCTTCCCAAAGTGGAGCTTGCTTTTTATAGAGACTTTGGATGCGTTTTTGGTAAAGGAATCTTTTATATTGTCATTAATTTGTTTCTAAATTATGTTTAGAAAGTTGTACCATGAATTTTCTTAAGGGCCAATTGTTGCACATTGGCTAAAATTAAATGGCGGGATACTCTGCTAGAGACTGTTTGTGTTTTGTTTTCATCCATGGTTAGCCGGAAAAGTCACAGAAAATCTCAGACTCCTCAAAGCAACCTCCAGATCCCAATGGAAACATTAGAATTATGCATAATTAGAATTATAGCTTTATAGAGAACTAAGAGACTACTTAACAAATGTATTTGGTGGAAGTTAGAAAGTGTACCCAGATTAGGAGACAGGAAAGCATGACTAGATAAGATTACCTGGAAAAGCTCAGTCCAACTAGAATCTTTCAACACAGTTGGGAAGTGCAGTGGAGTGGATATTGAGGAGGAACCACAAGGACCACTAAACGTGGGGGCCCTATATGTACTTGATTTGCATAAATAATCCACTCATCTTAGTTAGGTTACATGGACCATTATAGTTCAAAAATTTTTCAGAGGGAGACACTGAGGTTGAATATTAAAGGTAAGAAGTTAAAGACGGTTGGGCTCAGTGGCTCAACCTGTAATCCCGTGCTTTGGGAGGCCGAGGTGAGTGGATTGCCTGAGCCCGCGGGTTCGAGACCCGCCTGGGCAACTTGGCGAGACCTCATCTCTACAATAAATCAAAAATGAGCCGGGCGTGGTAGCACACATCTGTAGTTCCAGCTACTTGGAAGGCTGAGGTGGAAGGATCGCCAGAGCCCAGCAGGTCGAGGCTGCGGTGGCTGGGAGCGGCCATGGCACTCCAGTCTGGGCGATAGAGTGAGACTCCAACTCAAAAAAAAAAAAAAAAGAACAAAAGAAAGAAAAAGAAGATATGCACTGAAGTCTCTAAGTGGGATTTATTTTAAAATAGTCAAGCAAATAATATAGCAAAAAATGCAATGTGCAAAAAGTGTATATGGTATACTATTTTTTCTAAGAAAAGAGGAAATTAGATATATTTTACTTTTTTGTGTGTTTGCATTGGGAGTATGCACGAGAGATACATGAAAACAAAAACCTGTAGGGTAGGTGGGAAAGATGAGAGTAAACATGGATGGGTGGGAAGAAGGTTTTTTAATATAAACTTTTTCTATTGCTTTAACTTTGTAGCCTTTTGAATGTATGAAGGAGGAACTCCACCCCCCTAAACCCAAAATGATCTTTTGGCGGGCAGGCCCCTTGTAGTACATTTGGAATTTGTTCCTCCGGATCAAACAGTCAACCAAAGTTTTTATCTGAAAGTTTTGAAAAGGTTGTGTTATGATTTGTGGAAGAAACGTCCCAAGTGTGGCAAACAGGTGACTGGTTCTTACACCATGACGAAGCATCGCTGTGGTTAGCCATTTTTCACCAAAACTGACATGACTTCTGTGCTGACCTCACCCCAAGCAACTCTTGTTTCTCTGGTTGAAAAAGGTCTTCAAAGGGAAATGTTTTGCTGATTTGGAAGAGGTGAAACAAAAAACTTCAGAAGCACTAAAGGACATTAAAATTGATGAGTTCAAAAACTGTTTTGAGCAGAAATAAAATAAATAAATAAAAGAAACAAGAAATTAAAGTTAAATGAACATGAAAATGTTCAGAATCAGCCCCTACACACAGAAGCGAGTGGATCTCTATGTTCCTTCATATTCAGATTTCAATGAATTAAATTATTAATTTTTTTTTTGAGTCAGAGTCTCACCCTGTCACTCAGGCTGGAATGCAGTGGCACACTTACAGCCACCACAGCCTCAACCTGCTGGGCTCAGGTGATCCTTCCACCTCAGCCTTCCAAGTAACCGGAACTATAGGCACGCACCACCATGCCCAGCTAATTTTTTGGTTTATTGTGGAGATGAGGTCTTGCCAAGTTGTCCAGTCTGGTCTTGAACCCCTGGGCTCAGGTAGTCCTCTTACCTCGGCCTTCCAGTTCTGGGATTATAGGCGTGAGCCACTGCTCCCAGCATCATCAATGTTTTATAAAGCTGGTCTCAGTGGCAATTTTAGAGATGGGCAGAAAACAGTAACGAAAACAAAACAAAACAAAACACAGGAATTGAGGTCTGATGCTTTTAAGAGTCTTGCCCAAGGTCATGTTGCTGGTATAACCCCCGATTCCATGCTTAATCTACTCTACCTCACACTTGAATATGGGAATTACTTGTTGGTATTAGTTATGTGGGCAGATATATTAAGGATAAACATTAAACTAATGAAATAGTTTATAGTGGGAAAGGTGTGAAGCTTAGGGGACGTGTGTTCTCATTCTAAATCACCAGCTATGTCCCTTTGGGCAAATCAATCTTGTGGAGTCTCAGTTCCTAGTATATAAAATGAGGCAATGTAGCTGGGCTCGGTGGCTCAGCCTGTCATCCCGCGCCTTTGGGAGGCTGAGGTGAGTGGATTGCCTGAGCCCATGGGTTCGAGACCCGCCTGGGCAGCGAGACCTCATCTCTACAATAGATCAAAAAATCAGCCGGGCGTGGTAGCGCATGCCTGTAATTCCGACTACTTGGAAGGCTGAGGTGGAAAGATCGCCGGAGCCCAGCAGGTCGAGGCTGCGGTGGCCAGGAGCGGCCACTGCACTCCAGTCTGAACGACAGAGTGAGACTCCAACTCAAAAAAAAAAAAAAGAGGCAACTTATTATGCTCTCTTGAGGAACTGCCACTCTGCGATGCTATGGAAATGCACACATTGAACAAGTTGGATATTTATATTTATATTAAATGCCATTTGTTTATATTGAACAAGTTGGATATTTATTACAGGCATTTAATGACATAAAGGTGAATGACAATGAAACTCGGGGAGACGATACATAGAGGAAGGTCACTGGGTTTTCAGATAACACTCAAGCTGTGAGACGACTTCCCCTTTGTAAAAAAAAGCGTTGGCTTTTAAGATCTCTGGATAAAAGTCACTCTCCCAGAAATGAGACTGTTGGCTCTGAGATGTTACCTCAGTAAGGATAATGTGCCTGGAACTCAACACTTTCTGACAATTCATACTTAAAACTTCCTGGGTGGGTAAGAAGGAACACATTGTGTACATGAGATGAAACAGAATACTGAGGACTCCTCAATTCCAATCAAAGTAGAGTAAAAGAAGCATTGCAGAAAGCAATATGGTTTTCCAAGAGTTTAAGAACTTGAAGGTCAAAGTCAGAATATTAGAGCGGGGAGCTGTGCATATAGCATCTAACCTAATTTCCTCATTGTATAAATTTTACAAATGAGGAAACAGATCCAGCAAAGTTACATGACACAGCCTCATCTGTATGAGAACAAGTATGAGAATTTGGCTCATGAATGGAGTAGAAATGGTCCATATATGTGAGGATAAGGGACATGCCATTCATTAGTGTGTACTCCAGCTCCTATTCCACTGCCTGGCACCAGAGAGGGACTTCATAAACACAGGTCATGGGTCTGACTGGGACTGATTTGACCAAATGAATGCATGAATGATATGTTCGTGTTTTGTGCTTCCTGCTAACCAGCTGGGCTTGCCCATGGTCCATATCAGGCCTATTTTATCTGAGATGTTAGAGGGTTCTCTCTACTCACTATGACTGAGTGACACTTTTCTTTTTTTTTTTTAGATTAGCAAATATAGTTTATTTAGAAATTAAATTGGAGAGAGAGAGAAAAAAAGGGAATTTATCTCCCCAATGTGGGGGAGAGGACCAAAGCCACAGAAGCATGGTGACAGCCATAACTCAAAGAGAACATGGTCACACCAGATGCTAGCAAGGCAATGGCCACAAGTAACGCTATTTTTTCTCTAAAGTATTGCTTCCTCTTTGTTGATATGACAGGACAAACATCAGATTACAGGATGTGTGTTGTGTCGTGTGTCATGACAGAGAACGGGGGTTTCCTTTAATGTGACTGTGGACGTGGCAGTGCTAATATAGAAATCACTGGTGGTCAGACACCCTGGCATGCTGGGCAGGCGCTCAGCGAGGGCGGCCGCCGCTCATGTGATTGCAGAGCAGACAGTGGAGGAAGTACCCAGTTCAGTTGGAGACTTCCAACTGCGCCTAACAGAGCTGTCCTTAGACTCTTCTTCTGCAGAACTGATGTTTTCACATCTTTCCTTTGACTGTGTCCTGCTGCTGCTGCTACTACTACTTACAAGTAAGTCTGGGCGTGGACATTTACAAGTGGATAGTGGTGTTGCCTGAAGGACAAGAGGAAGACACAAGGATGCTCACTGTTGTAATAGCAAAAGTTTTGGGCGACCTAAACATCCACCAGTAAGAGAGTGGGTAGATAAATATGATATATCCATGATGTGAACAGAGAGATTGACTGAACACACTGGTACGGAGTGTCTCCAAGTTATAATGCTATTGAATTAAGGCAAAGAACAGAAAAATGCATATATCAGCCTCCTATTTGTGTGTGTGTACATTGTGGAAGAGCAGGAATATATGGACATTTCTTAATGTGTATGCTCTAGGAAAACAAGCCAGGGTATGGGGGGGGGGGGAGTTGGGAGAAGGGGTTATATTTTTCATACACCTTTTATATACTGTTTGAATGCTTTACCATGTATACGTTTTTTAAATGTCTGAGCAGCTCATTCTTGTAAGCCTAGCTCTTTGGGAGGCTGAGATGAAAGATAGCTTGAGGCCAGGAGTTCAAGAACAGGCTGGGAGACGTAGCAAGACCTTGTCTCTATAAAATATAAACATAAATTAGCTGGGCTTGTAGGTGGTATGCCTGTAGGCTCAGTTATCTGGGAGGCCGAGGCAGGAGGATCACTTGAGCCCAGGAGTTTGAGGCTGTAGTAAGCTATGATCATGCCACTGTATTCCAGTCTGGGTGACAAAGCAAGACCTTGTCTCTAAAAAAAAAAAAAAAAAATTTGCCTTAATTAAAAAAAAAAAGAGTATGTTTTATTTATTGATAGTTTTTCTTAAAGGAATCAACTCTAAACCTCAAAACAATCTGTGAATGGTTTCAAATATACAAGTTCTTTGGCCAAGGATTTTTATTCACTGTGTACCTGGTGCTTTAAACAAACAAAAAAATTTTTTTAAAAAGAGAGCGAGAGAGAAAGAGAGAGAGATTTATTTAGGATAGTCACCCCTTACTGATTAACAGACAACTAGCTCAGATGGATGGGCTGTTTACTGATTGACAATGCCCCATTTTCTGATTGTCTGTTTCCACCAGCCCTGTCCTTTTGTGTTCACAGAACTGGGCCTGCAGTTCTCTCCTAGGGCAGTAGTTCTGAAAGTGAGGTTCCAGGATCAGCCACATCAGCAATGCCTAGAAACTTCTTAGAAATACAAGTTCTCAGGCTCCACCCCCAACCAACTGAGTAGGGAACCCTGCGGTTTAGCCCAAAATCTGTGTTTTCACAAGTCTTCTGGGTAATTCTGCTGCCCAAATCTGATAAGTATTATCATAGTGAATTATCCTCCAAGACAGGACAGCAGCAGTGGTTTCCTCTTTATCCTATAAATGCAGGCTGGGTGTGGTGTCTCACACCTGTAATCCTAGCATTTTGGGAGGCTGAGGTGGGAGGACTGCTTGAGGAGGAGTTTGAGGCCAGCCTGGGAAACATAAGGAGACCCCATCACTACAAAAAAGAAAAAAAAAAAATTAGCCAGTGTGGTAGGGTCTTCCTGTAGTCCCAGCTACTTCAGAGGCTGTGGCTGGAAGATTGCTGAGCCCTGGAGGTGAGCATGTAATTGAACCACTGTACTCCAGCCTGGGCGATGGACTGAGACCCTGTCTCAACAAAAAACAAAACAAGCCGGGCTCGGTGGCTCAGCCTGTAATTCCAGCACTTTGGGAGGCTGGGGTGAGTGGATTACCTGAGCCCACGGGTTTGAGACCCGCCTGGGCAACTTGGTGAGACCT